GGAGAGCGACAGATCCACTTTCTGTCGATCTTCCCTGTAAAAAACCATGTTGATGTTCTGTTATTACATTATACTTCACTAGGAATGAGAAAATTTTTTTATAAATACATTTTTCAATAATCTTGCATATAACAGTTTGAACAGTTATAGGTCTATAATTATCAAGACATAATCGACTATTTTTTTTGTGAATTGGTGTGACAAGCCCAGTCTTTAGGTCCGCTGGAAAGGAACCACTTTGTACCGAAAAGTTTATTATATTCGACAAAATGTGAGCAATATGTGGTGCTATACTCTTTATCAACCTTGTTGAAAGGCAGTCGATACCCACCGAATTAACATTTCTCAAAGTATTGATAGCATCCAATACATCCTCATCTAACACTGCACTGAAATAGAAAGTATTATAAACGTACATTGTAGTATTATTATTAAAGTTAACATCTTTAAAATGCCTATCTAGTTCATTTTTTGCATCTTTTGAAAAGAATTCTGCAAACAAGTTTGCAATTTCATATTTATTATTCACTATTGCTCCATTTAATTCAATAGCATCAATAGTATGTTGTTTCTTTTTCCCTACTTTCTCTTGTACAGTACGCCATATAAATTTTTGTTTCTCTACGACATTTTTATTATCTAAACTTTTTTGATAGAAAAGTTTCTTTACCTCATTTATTTTAGCAATGTAATTCTTTTTAAAAACTTTATAATTCATATGATCTTGCGGGTTTGAGGAATTTTTTATCAACCAAAACATATTCCTAAGATCAGTACCCATCTGCCTAAGTTCACAATTTATCCATTTTGTATTAGTCGTTTTGACGCTTTTTTTTGTAACAAGTGGACATGTTCGTTCAATATAATAAAATAAAATATTAAAAAACTCTTTAAAAACAGAATCAACATTATGAGTAAAACACACAGACATAAAATTTTCATTACTTAAAAAAATATTCAAATTAAGCAGATTGGCTTGAGACAGGTTCCTATGTTTAATAACATTATCATATGGCTTATGCTGGCGAACTTCACATGTATTAAGTTGAACGTTTACTTTAATATCTAAACATAAGTGATCACCTAATTGCAAATCAGTAACATGTTCTTGATATACATAGGGTATAGTTGTTAAGAAATAATCAAGTTTAGTTTTTGTTGTTTTCATATTTTTGTTCGTAAAAATACGAGTTGGTTCACAATTTTGCAGTTTTAAATTAAAACTTTCTATTAGATCAATTAACTGATTTGTTTCATAAGAAGTTTGTAAATAATCAATATTAAAATCGCCAGTAACAATAATAGCACGATAATTTTTTGCACAGTAACTTAGAGCTATATATAGTCGGTCTATAAATGTTTCCATATTTCCAGATGGGGATCTATATACGTTCAATACACAACAATTAATTTTTTGAATATAAAGTGATAGACTGCACAACTCAAAATCTAATTCAATAGATAAGTTATTTAAGAATACAGGTATTTTGTACTGAATATTATTTTTTATAAGAACAAGAACTCCACCATGACTCATACTAATTCTATTATAATATGTAGCCAAATCATAGTTTTCAAATTTTACAAGATCAATATTATCATTAGTACACCAAGTTTCGGAAAGGCATACTATATCAGGTTGCTCCTGAACTAAAATTAATTCAATCCTGTTAGTCTTATTACATAAGGATTGACAATTGACATTCATAATATGAAACTGTTTAACAAACTGGTGTATAGTGTATATAGTTTTAAATGAAAACGAATATAAATGCCTTAAATACAAACTGAAGATTATTTGTAATATTAAGTAATAATATTACATTAAAGAATTACAAGTGTACGAGAGTAGGTATAACCTCAAAATGGACAAAATATGTTAATAATACACTTTTTAACACACTGATAACTGCAGCTTATTCGAAAACATAAAAATCATATTCTTATACCATTTATAATAATAATTATTATTTAATTCTTATAAACGAAAAACGCTTTTAAAATAAATAAAACTGTTAGTAACAAAAAAATATTTGGTGTGCTCACTGCTTAGCTTCGTCACCCAAACTCATTTCTGTGTCTACATCAATAAGAGAACTTATATTCACAATTTCAGATACAGAATATACGTTTTAAAAATGAATATTAAATCAATTTATGAAAAAACGTTATTTTTTTGCTGTTATAACAATTTTCCACTTATTACTATAAATAATGGTTTATTAAACAAAAAAAATATTTTTTTGTACATTATTAAATTCACGGATTTTTCATGAAATATTTTTATTTTTTGTTATATTCTGTTTTTCAACTATTATTTCAATTTTTTAAGAAAAATAAAATGCACCATCTTAAAGTAGAGATTTCAAGCTTTAAAAAGTGCCCTCATAAAGTTTCAATATCACGTTTACAACTATAGTTTTTGATCTATAAAGTATGGTCTAAAAAGTAAAATTTGTGATTTTTTAAAATTATCGAATATGTATGTTGTGCTCAATTTTTTTCAAATTAAATTTTTAAGATTTTTTCCATATCGCTCACTGTTTCAATTGTCATTTGAAGAGTAATCTCTGAAAGTTACAGATATTTATTTTAAAAATTAAAAGAATGACAGCTATTTTATTATTATTGTACAAAATTACACTTTGTACACGTACTATATATTTTTTTTCTATCAAGTTTAAAGACATATTTTGATAGCCGGATGACTCTTCTTTCATTTAAATTTTTGCGAGGTCGATTTGATCAATTAGATCAAAAGTTATAACAAATTTAGTGTAGCGCGCTCGGGGCCGCCCGTCTCATTTTTCGTACGTAGAAAAAAAATTGTACAGCCTTCATTCAATTTGCATTTTAGAAAAAAACTTTATTAACATTTTTTATGTAAAATTTCCTGTTCTTTCGAATGGCACAGTTAATTTTTTTTTAAATTAATATTTTTTATATATTTTGCAAAAACAGTAATTTTGCAACTAATTTGTTAAATAAATAATTTAGCGTACACTCTACAGTTGGTAACTTTTTATATGTTGTTTCTGACAACTTTACAAAGCGAAAAATAAAAAGTTCTCTCTTCCAGTAATTTTCGCGAAGTCAAAATCTATCTTGACTCCACTATTTGCTTGTACACAAGCTTCAGCGCGACGTACCCAATTTGCAATAGGAAATATTGGAAAAATTCGAGCCACGCGTCAAAACTAATCAAATAGTACTTTTTTATTCTTTCCGAAATTAAACTATAAAGTTTCGGTGAGGTAATTGGAATATATGCCTGAAATTTTTTCAAAATGGCCGAGTAATCTCTAGCCTCAATTATAGTTTGACATATTCGGTATCTAAAATTGAAAAAAAAAAAGGAAAATTACCTACTAAACGCTGCCAAACAAAAAAAAATCATAAATATTAAACATATTCCTAACTCATGAATCTAGGCCCAAAATATAACCTTCAAATTTATAAATCTTAACCTAAAACGAACGTACCCAATTTCCATTCTTGAAGAAAATATATTGTTTCTGTGTATAGAAAAAATTAACCTCGACGTGGTTGTACTTCACCGGTGTCCAAAACTCTTTGCGCTACACCGCTACAGCAACAAACGAGGGCACGTCGTTCAAGATATCTTGCACGGGACACTTGACAAGTTCTGTGGGCATTTTCGTTTGTTTCGTCATAAATTATGAACATATAATATTCGCGATTGCTAAATAAATGCGCCATTTTTAAAAGAAAACTTGGAAATACGGCTAATAGATGTACTCTCGAAAAACAGCACAGCAATCACTACAACAATACAAACTATAATACATATATTTCAGTAGTTCCAAAACAATTTTAAACACATTTTTAATTAGTTTTTGTCTCTGTGACCTTAAACATTCGATACAAGTTTGTGACATAAGTTAACTCAGTTTTTGCTTCTTTTTTTCTTTCATTCCTCGTTGAAAATTGTAGGTGGTTTTTCATGTAAAAAAGTCTCTACGTAAATGTAAATGTGAAGAGAGTATACTTTTCTTAGTATGGAAAATGCATTTACTGGATAATTTCTTCATCTTCCCTTCGGTTGCAAAAGCTATAAATAATTTTTTGCGTTCCATTTTTTCACCACAGCCTTCTGGATGGTATTGTGTGGATTTGCCACTATCTATTTGCAACATAAAATTCGTCTATAACATTTTTTTGTGTTTTATGAAATTTTGATTATTCTCAGTTGACTTTTGAATTGTAAATTATGGGACAACGACATGCCGTTTGCAACGAGCACGCAAGGTACGGTATTCGAGGCGGGATTGCTTTCTACTTTCTCAATAATTACTGCAAATCTTGTGTTGCATTCGCAAATAAAGTAAAATTGTCGCAGTATCGACAGCCTATAGGGCAGATTGCAATTAAAACCAAAAAAATACTAACGTAATAATAGTGCCTTGGAAATTATTGTGAATAGTATATGATAAAACTTGCGTGTGGAAGAGGCGTCGTTCTAAAGATGACTTCTATAAATAATACTGAAAAATGCAGTTTTCCGTACGACATTGTTGATATTGATGATGATACGTTCAGAAAAGCACACTCACATCTACATGGTAAGCATTTTTATGCCATTTATGATGTAAGAAATATTTATTTGTAACTTCATTTTAAAGATACACCCTTACTTCCACCTTAAACAATGTTTTTATAGGCAAGGCCTACTCAGATTTGTTATAAATTGACGAAAATTGAGTTAGTGTTAAAAAATCACTGCTTTTAAAATTATTTTAAAATTATTGTTATGACTAATTTTTACAAGAAATGAAATTGAAAAATTATAAACAAATTCTTTTTTGTGTTTTTTTAATGCTATTTATACTTGCTTAATTGATAAATTTCTCTCTGATAATAAAGCAAAGGTAGATATATCCACAAAAATAGCTATGTTACAAGAACCAAGAAAGTCCATGCTAATATTTTCAACAACGAAACGAATTTTGAATTTTTATTTTAGCATGTTTTTTTTCAAGGTATAGTCGAAAGGAATAGCGTCTTAGTGGGTCCCAATAAGTACTTTCTGCCGGGGATATACAAAAAATGCTACTCGGATATATACAGTTTCAAGGCCAGACCCGATGACATCTTATTGATTGGATTTCCCAGATCTGGTAAATTTGGCGTTAACCGTGAAGCAATGTACATTTTCTATTTTTTTTTTTTCGTTTTACAGGCACTACTATGCACTGCGAAATGGTGTGGCAGATTGAGAATGATCTGGACTTTAAAACCGTCGAAAACGTCATACTTATCCACAGGTTTCCGATAATAGAGTAAGTATAATTCAGTTATTTTCTAGATTTATTAATGAAATAATCAATAATAATCAGAACTTTTTAATTTATAAATATAGGGTAGGAACTTTTTATTGTACTCGACTTTTTTGTATCAAGTACCGCGACACCCTGTATATGTATACAGAAAATTACTAGTTCGATCAAGTCTGTTACTGATTTGGTTAGCGTTGTCGTGAAATCAAAATATTTGTAAGTTTATGTTCATTAGTTACATGCTTCATTATTTTTGTGCAAATTTAATGCATTTATAAATACAATTTATACTCAATGAGACAGTAGATATTAGGCAGGCCGCATTTGCGCCCAGGAACGACTTATGTTGGTAGGCCCTAACCACCATTCAGTGCAGGAATGAGGGAAACCTGGAAAACCTCATTAATTAGGGGGGTGGTCAAATGCCAACCGGTGTCAATCTCTCACATTGCCCCAAGCCAACATTCTTCCACCCTACCATACCTGCACAGAGGGTGCCAATCCTCCGTACAAGCATAGCTAATCTACGATCTACCGCCTTAAACCGTGCGGCTATCAACCGATATGATTCTGACGTTTAGAGAATCTCGAAAAGATTCGAAATTAACAGTACGGCTTTATACAAACTAACAATTTATGTCAATAATGAATGTAAACATTGAAAGTATCTTGCTTCCACGAATAAACTGATAAATCAGTAACAAGACTTGATCAAACCTCTGTTTTTTTATACATATCATTTTATACCTTCGGAAGAGATATTGGAAAATTTTTTTATACAACTTTCTTACGACATTAGAAATGTGTGAATTTGAAATATATCATTCCGATAACGTCACAGTCCCTGGGACCAACTTTACAAAAATGGAATTTTATGTCAAATCGTCATGTCATAAATATTATCGCCTGCGGTTTTCTATTGGCTCTTTCTGTTTTTTTTTTTGTTTTAAGTCGTATAATTTTTAGCCTGTGCCTCTCCATGGGTGACCTTAGCCTCATGGGCGTTGTAGCAGATACCCTCACGCTACCAAATGACATTAGAGACATAGCAACTCGATATAGCACCCTGACAATTGACAATCTAGCCAAAAGCGAAGGAAGGCGTTTCATTAGGTCCCACCTACCTATCAGTCTATTGTCTCCTAGTTTCTTCCAATCGGGATGTAAGGTAAGAAACTGATGATGATAGTTTGGTTTAAATACACCAATAACACTAATTTGGAGGTGATATACTGCGCCAGGAACCCCAAGGATTTAGTTGTGTCGTACTATCACATTTTACAGTTCTTCAAGCCCAAAGAATCGGAATCAGTCTCTTTCAAAGCGTTCTGGAATGCCTTCAGGAGCAACTGGAGTAAGTGAAAAGAAACCAAACAAAAGAAATAGTAAGTATTTATAATCGAATGTTGTTTCAGCTATATACTCCCCTTATTTTGAACATTTGAAAGAGGCTTGGAAGAAGAGGAATGAGAAGAACTTCATGTTCTTGTTTTATGAAGACACAATGAAGGTACAATCATTTGTCAGGAAGGAAACGTTGGTGGTGCCTTTTTATATTACATATTGCTACTTAATCAGATTTATAGAACTGAATTGAATTTATTGATTTATTAGAAGTATTAAGAAAAACTTTCCTCTACTAAATAATTTTTTTACAGGACCTAAAGCAAGGAATAGTGAATATGGCGGAGTTCTTGGGAAAAGAACTGACAAATGATCAACAAGAAAGACTGGTTGATTACTTGAATATAGACAGGTTTAAGAAAAACAAGTCCGTCAACTGCCAACACTTGTGCGACTTAGGTGTTGCCAGCACTAAAAACGAATTTATTAGGGAAGGTGGATCCGGAGGATGGAGGAAATATTTCTTTGGGGATTTAGAAGTGGAAGTTGAGGAGTGGATAAGCGAAAATCTGAAGAATACAGATCTTGTGTTTCCCAAAGATTGAAAAATGTTTTATTAAAAAAATACATGATTTGATTAATACCTACCTAGCTAAAGGACTCGGAGGGGGATATATTATGGTGACATTGCCTATGACCTTGAAAGTAATTTTCAAGGTCAACTTTGTTTTTTTTTAAAAAGGGACCCCTATTTAATGATCTCGGATTCGGAAAGGGCGGGAAATTCTACGTTCAGATGATGTATCATATGTGGGGTCGAGACCCAAGGTCATGTAAAGGTCAATTTTATTTTTCCTCAATCTTTGCACCCAAATGTCCCACCAAAGGTAAGTTTAGTAAAAATATTTTTCTAATAAAAGTTGCTCGATTCCGAGGAGGTTGTATGATGCCCTTGGGCGTGATTTTCAATGTCATTTCAAGGTTAACTTTAGGTTTTAACGGGAAACACTTAGTTTTGACCTTGGATTCGAGTAAAGCGGAAAATTCTACATTTAATAACACTTATTATGGTAATACAAATGTTTGCTAAATGTACGAAATTGCAAATAACAAATTCAAACATCGGTTTTAGGAAACTAAATTTATATTACAATTAATACATATTAATTACAAATAAAATTGATCTTTACATGACCTTGGGTGGTCAACCGACCCACATATGATACATCACCTGAACGTAGAATTTCCCGCCCTATCCAAATCCGGAGTACAGAAATAGGGGTTCCTATTTAAAAAAACGAAGATGACCTTGAATGACTATGAAAATTACCTTCAAGGTCATAGGCAATGTCACCTTAATATGTCCCCCTCCGAGTCCAGTAGGTAACTATTGTCTGAAACATTTTTCGCTAAACTTTACCTGGGCAGCGATATCCGGGTGGAGGAATTAAAATGGCCTACTCTGTACATATATTTTTTTTTGAGAACACACTGTATGTGTATTTTATTATGTAAATAATTGCAATAAAAATAAATAAGGTTTATTAATCTTATTTTCAATAGATATGATTCTCTATGACAGTAATTATCTGTAATAAAAAGTGATAAAAACATATAATAAATTGTGAGACCTGGACATTAATCTAAATCTGAATTTAAATTAAACGGATTTTATCGTTCAACAACCAGTATAAGCAAAACCATAACATGTGGTACTAAAATACTATTAGTCAGCAGAACCACCAGACATATACCGATTTATAGTGTACAAGATCTCATCAGTATGCCTTAGGTAAGACAACTGACTAATAATCCATATCCGATGGGTGAGATATAAAAACAAAGTGTTATATGTGAATTTATTTGTCTACATTGCAGTAGATTTATTAAACGAGTACAAATTATACACTTGCAGGTGATATTTGAAGAGCAAATAGATCTAGATGTGAAAACTCGATTGGCAGAAATATTTTTTTAGTAACTACTAACCACAATGATACGAAAAAATATTTTTGGGACCGAGCGATAATTTGTTATGCAGAAGTGTATTTTTATATTATTTCCGAACTGCCCTTTTTGTTTTTTTTCATAATTCTATTTGTAAGTCCCATGTACAATATTTTTTTTAGATACGTTCTGAATCACCCTGTGGTTATATTTCAACTAACTAAGCCACAAAATAAACAAACAGCTGTTTGTAGTATAGTCTACGTTCTTATCTGTTTTGAAAGATCGCATAATATTTAATTAAATAATGTGTACCATTTATTCCTATAAGTATATTTTTTATCTTTATGCATTGTACTTTTTAATTCTTTTAAGATCATATAAAGTACATAATTTATCCTTATCAGCCACGTAGCCTTACAAACAAGTCACCCAAACGCAAATCTATATAAGCCGAGAGCAAGCGAACTGGATAAAAAAGTCGGGTTTTCGAAAAATGGAACGCAAAATTTATGAAAAATTACCATTCGAAATAGTGGAACCCGAAAATGACATACCGAACAATTATTTAAGTGAGTATACCTTTTTATTTATTTTGTTGGTGCAGGTACTTAGAACTGAAGAAATAATATAATAATAATAAATAAAATAAGTGCAATTCGAAAAAATAATACAGCGTTACATTTTCAAGGCTTACTTGATGTCTTACATCAAAATATTAATGGTGTTTTGTTCAAGGGCGCTCCCTATAATTGTTATACGGATTTTTTATTCGTGTCAAATTGGCATCTAGGAGTAAAAGGACACGATCGATCTGACTACATTGTTGTCAGATCGCCACTTTTTTTAAATATAATAGAAACTTTGGCTTTTCTACAACAACAGTGGTATAAGGTTTGACGGAAAAATATCTATGGGTCCTAAACACAACCATTTCTGAGAAAAAAATTATCCAAATCTCCAACTTAAAATACAAAAGTTCGATTAATTAAGCAATATTGACATAACTGCGTGCATAGAATACCATAAAATAATCATGTTTATCACCTTTTTTTAACTTCTTTATGCTTAATTCTAAAAATTAATTAGCGTTGTAATAAATTTAAAATTCGATAAAATTCATATCGAGCAATGTGACAACGGCCAAGGTGTCCAGCAATCACCAATACGCAATTCAGTTGGTATCTGGATTCGACCGTGTCGGAGTGTTTTTTGCGTACCACTATTTCCTTTTCTTGAGGTGTTTTCCAGCGACGTGGTGGTGGACATTTTAAGCATATGTTGTAGTTTGTTTTGTACTTGCGTGCGTTTAAAAATTACTGAATTTTGGTAAGTATTTAAATTATTTTTAATACGTATGATTATTTGGACGACGCGAATCTTACTTTAACTACACATTTTTCAAATACGTAATTTGATTAAAAGTTAAGTTCCTGTATTAAGAGATTCATAATTACTAAAATTCGAGCTAAAATTTAAGCACAACAGTATCTTCGTACTACAAAATCGATACATTTGGCAGTTAAACTTCTTACATGCTGTATAATTTCCTGCTAGATGTAAGGTCTTTGAGTAAATCATACACAAAGTAAAAACGAGAGGACTCGTGTAAAGAAGTGACAAGTACCCAAACAACAGACTTGACATTCAAACTTGTTATTAATACAGAATTAAAGAAAAATAACCAGAGTGCAGCGGTTAATTTTTTATTCTTAAATAAAAGTTACTTTAAGGTTTGTTTTCCCGTTGGGTACATTTACTAATAATTTCTTGTTCTCGCTGAATATTCTCAAAGTAAAAAAGTTTTATTTAAATTATATACAGGGTGTCTCATAATTAGCTGCCAACCCTGAACAGGCCGATTCTATTATCAAAACTAAGTAAAAAAGTTCATATGAACATGGGTCCGGAAATGCTTCCTAAGGGCACAGGGACCCATTGAAGAGGGAGGAATGGAAATCATTTTTTTGCAATATCTCTCAATCGCGTTGTGATAAATGAATGAAATTTGGTATACACAGCTAAATTTTGATGAGCAATTTGATGGACTAATCCATTTATTTCCACAAGGTCCATTGGGGTGGGTACGGGGGGGCCCTTGGTACTTTGCGTGTGTAACTTTTTCATCTTTGACTTTTTAACAAATTGGACAGCAAATTCCGTTTTCCCGAACTGTTTTACGTTAAAAAGGTACTCTTGTTTCAAATCGTTATCTTTAACGGTTTCTGAGAAAATCGCTCTTGAATTAATCCCACTTTGGTCAATTTCATAGTAATTTAAACAAAAAAAATTTTTTTGTTTAAATTTAATCTAATTTTAATAAAAAAATAATAATAAAAAATTAAATTAAATAAAAATTAATCCTTTAAATGGAAAAGAGAGGAAAGGAAAATTATTATTATTATTTTTTGTTTAAATTACTATGAAATTGACCAAAGTGGGATTAATTCAAGAGCGATTTTCTCAGAAACCGTTAAAGATAACGATTTGAAACAAGAGTACCTTTTTAACGTAAAACAGTTCGGGAAAACGGAATTTGCTGTCCAATTTGTTAAAAAGTCAAAGATGAAAAAGTTACACACGCAAAGTACCAAGGGCCCCCCCGTACCCACCCCAATGGACCTTGTGGAAATAAATGGATTAGTCCATCAAATTACTCATCAAAATTTAACTGTGTATACCAAATTTCATTTATTTATCACAACGCGATTGAGAGATATTGCAAAAAAATGATTTCCATTCCTCCCTCTTCAATGGGTCCCTGTGCCCTTAGGAAGCATTTCCGGACCCATGTTCATATGAACTTTTTTACTTAGTTTTGATCATAGAATCGGCCTGTTCAGGGTTGGCAGCTAATTATGAGACACCCTGTATAATTATTCAATCTGTCTCTTTACCCCATGATGACAATTTTGATATAAATCTGAAAATGAGACAACACGTATAAAAATTATAGGGGGTACTAAGCCATATAAAAAGGAACGCCCGGTATATTACAACTTGTATTATTTAGGTGTGGACAACGGTTTAGTATTCGTTGGCCCTAAAAGGTATGCTGAGCGGAGCTATTACAAAAAACATGGATTGGACATTTACAATTTTGAAGCTAGACCAGATGATATCTATTTAGTTGGATGCCAAAGAACTGGTAAGTATGCCTTGGCTTTGTCTGCAGGCTTCCGAGGTTGTTGTCAAAAGTCCAACCATTTTCGGACTCGTTGCCACGTCATCGGTTTAGACTTGACGTTTGCAGAGAGATATCGAGAGAAATTTGAAGATAAGAATCTTTGTTTTGCAGGCACTACTCTTCACAGCGAAATGGTGTGGCTCATACAAAACGACCTGGATTTCGAAAGTGCCGCAAAAGATATCTTAGATCACAGATTTCCTCATATAGAGTAAGTAAAGTTCGAATAATGGCTGTTTTGTTCAGAAACATACTAAGAGGTAGAATTTTCTTTCCGAATGGAATGAATATTAGGAAGACAACACTTTGGTTTAGTATATTTAATTGGTACAATATATTTGATGCCGTTTTATTCCAGTTTCAGTGTAATAGGCGTTTTCGAGTTTTTGGAGATAGCTCTAAAAGCGAACAAGGACAGAGACAAATTTTCAGAGATACATCGAAAGTATCAAGAGTTAGATTTGAAGGGTCTGTCAGAGCAAAAGGGTAGAAGATTTATAAGATCTCACCTTCCTCTTAGCTTGATGCCTCCACATATCTTTGAGGTTGGAGCGAAGGTATTATTTTGTCTTCTTGCTGTCATGAAGACTAATATTTACTTGTTTGTTATTAATGCATGACAAATAACCGATATTTTGAGAAAAAAACACTATATTTTTTTCTAATAGACATTAAATTCGGTCAACACTAATTGAGTATATTTCTGTTTAGGTAATTTACTGCGCCAGAAATCCGAAGGATATGCTGGTGTCTTTATATAATATGTATAGTAATATAGGAATTAGCTTACCAGATAGAAGCTTTCAAAATTACATTGACGTTTTCAAAAACGATTCAGGTAAGCAAATTGTAGCTTTAAGGATCCGAAAGTAAAAATTTTGTATCTAGTGGATTCAAGATAGCTTAAAATTACGCATTATTTCGAAATAATTATGGGAAGCATGGATTTTCCTAAAACCTTTTGAAATTACTTGGAGATAAGTATTAGAAAAAAGTTATAAACTTATTTTTGTACGCTAATTGTTTTTTAATTGTTTAAACAATAATAAATAGTTTTTTTAAGAACATAAGAAATAATTCAATGAATTTTAAATCGAATTCTTTCAAATTGACAATATAGGGGTTTTCGATGTCGCTGAACAAGAATATGATGTCGGAAAATTAAAATTCAAAATGGCTGATCCAATATGCCGACTATTTTAAACAATTTATTTAACAATCATTGATTTTAAATCAAACTGCTCATAGAAAATCAAAATCAACGGCCCCTATTATTTATTTATTCATTAATTATTTTAAAAATGGATCAATATTCATCTAGGTATAAATATTAAACTCATACATTTACTGAAGATTATTTGTAATATTAAGTAATAATATTACATTAAAGAATTACAAGTGTACGAGAGTAGGTATAACCTCAAAATGGACAAAATATGTGAATAATACACTTTGCAGCTTACTCGAAAACATAAAAATAATATTCTTATACCATTTATAATAATAATTATTATTTAATTGGTCAAGGTCACCGTTGGATTGTTCACTCAAGACCCTGCAACTTTTGTCCTAATAATTTTTTTGTTTGAGCAATATTTTCTGAGATAGAGGGGGGGTTCCAAACTTTTTGAACATATTCTTCTTTCATTTAAATTTTTGCGAGGTCGATTTGATCAATTAGATCAAAAGTTATAACAATTTCAGTGTAGCGCGCCCGGGGCCGCGCGCTCATCGAGAGCTATACTTGGGGGCCGCCCGTTTCATTTTTCGTACGTTAGAAAAAAAATTTTACAGCCTTCAATTCGCATTTTAGAAAAAAACTTTATTAACATTTTTTATGTAAAATTTCCTGTTCTTTCGAATGGCGCCGTTAATTTTTTTAAATTAATATTTTTTTAAATTTTGTAAAAACTAATTTTGCAACTAATTTGTTAAATAAATATTTTAGCGTACACTCTACAGTTGGTAATTTTTTATATGTTGTTTCTGCCAACTTTACAAAGCGAAAAATAAAAAGTTCTCTCTTCCAGTAATTTTCGCGAAGTCAAAATCTATCTTGACTCCACTAATCGTTTTACCCTTAAGAAATCATAAAAAATCCAGCGGAAAAAGAAATTTTCAAAATTTTTGCTTCCCTTTTAACCACGGGATTCAATATTTTTTTTAGCTAATTTTTTATTACTTTGTGTAGATAACTAAAGTTGGTAAATTGTGGTAATTGTGATTTATGTATATTTGAATGTATTTTATGTTTCTTTTACGAAGATATGTTTATATTCCTACTGCCTTTAGTAAAATGAAAATTTCAGATATAATATATATAATATTAATAACTAACTTTTCATTACTTTGTATAACTAAGGTTGCCAATTTGTTTATTATTATTTTTTATAATAATTATGTACATTCAGAACATAAATTACTAGACATAGGTAGCGCAAATTTATATATTACAAATAACATTAATGAAGGTTATAGGTTTTTTTCTTATTATTTACAATATTAAGGATGGAAACTGATGCATTTCTGGTTGCCTAAATTATACCGAAAAATGGTAGAAAACAGCCCTTTTGTTATTCCAATATATCTTTTTAAAGCAATGTAAGAAAGTAGTAAAATTTCATATCACATTTGGCAAAGTATAAATGAAGACAGTAAAGCAAAAATTAATTGGGATAGGTAAATAATTCGTGAGAAATTAATTTCTAAATATGAAGGTTTTTTGGACTTTTACAAACGAACGATTATTTCTTCATAGTATTATAGAATTATGCAATTTTTTATATAGTTGTCTTTAAATAAATAAACTGATTAGACTTTATTTCATAGTTTGTTCATCACTTTATTATTTAAAAAGTTATATTGGAATAAAATTATTAAAAAATATTCATTCATGAATAGCATTATCTCCGACTTTTAATTCGCTTGATTTGTAATAGATGTCGCACTAGTAAAAATTTATTTATGAATGGACTCGGGTTATTTTTAACGAACAGCTGTTGTATGTGGTTAATTTGGTATAACCTGATTCTGAATTGGTAGTCATGGTTTCTGTTAATTGATACGTAAATATTTAAAGAATGTCATGATCATTTTAGATATATTTTTGTATAAAAGTATATAAGTAACAGTGCAAGTCCATACTATTATATAATTTTAGAAAATATGAAATATAAACAATTTTTAGTTTATTTAAAACCATAATTTATAATTAATATACCTATATTAGTATCTACGGTTAGTGGATAAGAGGGAAAACATTTTTATTTTCTATTCTACTAGAAAAAGTAATTCGTGACAAAAAATATTTTGCTTTTTAATTGAATATGTTTGTCATGAAAAACTGTAATTTATATATATACAGGGTGATCAGAAATTTAACAAAATTAATAACGTTGAAGAATAAACTGCTTTTGTTTTTGATAATATAAAAAAATGTTAATAAGAAAAGTTGTTCATAACGGAAAGTTATGTTATAATTACGATTTGTGAATAAAGCGGCTTACTTTGGTATAAACAGAAATGGAAAATATTATATTTTTAATAATTAATATTAAGTAATTCTTGATAAAAAAAATTCGCATATTAATATAAATAGAATTTTAATTGTGAATATACATAATAATGAGAAAATATAAAAAATATGTACGATATACTTATTTTGTCCAAAAAATGTGTAAAGAATTATGTACAAAAGGACGATTTGAGACTAAATTTTTTTTATGAGAAATAGGTATTCAGTTCACTTCACTTGAAAAAATAGTTGTAGGTACTTTAATACCTCCAATATAAACAGAAATTCTGTGGAACAGTGTAGTTTAATAAATATGTAAATAAATGAAAGTAATAAAGAAATAAATAGAATAGGTACAGTAGAACAGGAAAAAATTTAAAAAATCATAAAATAAAATTATTTCTTTTTATTAATTTGAGCTTCTATAATATATTCTGGATCCATACATCTTTTTCCCTGTGGAATATTTTTGTATATTATTTCTGGTAGTATACAATTTTTATAAAATTGTTCCAAATTTGTTGCCATTGATTTTTTCCATAATTCTTCATCTTTCTTAATTTGTTCTACATAGAGCGGGTTGTTTTCACCACTATAGGTATATTACGAAATAACATATAGACTTCTTCCGGTTATATTTAACTGTCTCTGTATCTGAAAGTAAGAAAAGAATTTTACCAGATAATATTTGTTATAAACATAGATAATTATACATTTTTACCTATTATGCTTTTGATTTACCATAATGATATATCTAGTCATATATAGGGTGCCACAATAGTGCGATAAAGTTTAGTATAACTGCCTGTAGTAGTGATACGAAAAAAGTTACTTGCTCGGATTCACATTTTATTATTATTTCCATTATTCATTATTTTCAGACCGAATTAAACGTTCAGAAAATCTTGTTTTTGGCCTGAAGATTTTGCCCTATACAACTATAACTGAAAATAATTATAAACTTTGTCACACTATTGGAACAGCCTGTATGTGCATTGCAACGACAATATGTCATATTTATATTACGGCTAAGTAAGCGGAAAGTCCATTGTCGCATATGTAATTTTTATTTTCAAATAATCAAATACAATATACCTACATATTTATTTTTAATATCTATTATTTACTTGAATTTAGTACTAAGTACAACTATGCCTAGCAAATTGTAATACTTACTCTGTTAATGTTTTTTCCTTCATATAAAAAATAGTAAACTCCACAAATAAAATATTTCGCAGCCACAACGCAACAATAAAAGATAACAGCTCAAAGATCCATACAAGAAATAATTACATTCGCACCTACTCTGGTCCGAATCCATATAAGTACTAAAATGTAGAAAATAATATGAAATAAAACTTTTAGTTGGCTGCAAATATTATAAATTTGTACAACCACTTGCCATCCTCCTTTTTTGTAAATATGTACATAATAATATGTAGAAGATAGAAAATAGAAATATTTTCAGAACAAAAAACCGGCGGCCGCAAATTGGAGTTTTTATTATTTTATTACCCTTCTCTTTTCATATGCAATTATGAGATAGCAAAAGAGTGGGATGGACGTATAGGCCGGACAACTTATTATCGTGCACGTGTGCGTGCATTTTCTCGTTTTTTTAGGTGTGTTTTGCCGGAATTTGAATGAATGAAATAATCGTACTATTTTTTACTATAAACGTATTTCCTGTAGCGACATCTATATGAATATTGTCGTACTTTGTTAGATGAAACGGGACTTCAATTTCCGTTCTTAAAGGTAATTGTACAATTTTCGTAATATTTGATGATGATTTCAGCATTCACGTGGCCATACATCGAACACGTCAAAGAAGGCTGGGACAGAAGGAACGATGAAAACTTTCTGTTCCTGTTCTACGAAGATACTATAAGGGTAAATGAACAGATAGGAACCTCCTCGATTATCCGATCTTAATCCTATGCGTTAATATTTTCAGGATAAACGCCGAACAATTCAAAAAGTGGCCGATTTTCTGGGGAAAAATTTGTCCGAAGACCAAGTGGATCGTTTGGAAGATCACCTCAAGATTGAAAATTTTAGAAACAACAAGTCAGTCAACTGGGACTCCTTCGTCCAAATGGGACTTTTTAAGGATAGTAACAAATTCATAAGAAAGGGCGAATCTGGTGGTTGGAAGGAGTTATTCGATGAAGAAGCAGGGAAAGAATTCGATCAGATTGTGGAGGAAAAGTTAAAGGGAACGGATCTTAGATTTCCAAGCGGTTCTACTTGATGCGACGGATATAAATTCAAAAACATGTTTTATATGTATAATAAGTCATTCTATTTTGTGAATTAAAATGGACAATTATAAGAACTTTGTTAACATTGTAGTCTGAGGGGTTATTTCTTTATCTATCTATCTATCTACCGCTATGACCAGTATCATAACGGTTTCAATTTGCCAAATAGTTTACTATTAACGTCTCGAAAAGGGAGTTTATAATTATCATTACACATACGTGGCAGCTTAGAAATGTTATACGTTCAGAGACTGAATACCACTTACCGTATGTCGCTCATGTACAAGGTAATCCAATGGTTGGTTGTATGGAGTGACACTTAAGTTGGAAAAACAAGAAAGAAACACCAAAACATCCAGAAAGGGTTTTAACAACAATAAAAATAAAACAAACAAACAAAATAACGACACAACGGGCTCGAAAAACATTATTAATTACTTTATTGACACGCGACAGCGTACTGAGATACAGGGAATGCGCGATCCTTAGCAAAATTTGGAATGACTTTATCCATTATTAAATTAACCCGAGACTCTAAAACTAAGTAGACTGCTTAATGTGGAATCCATGGAAGAACTGCCTGTTTTTTCGGAGATCTCTCCTGAATTCGACACCTCGCTTCGACACGCCCATTTATTGGGTCCAGACGTGAATGTTCTTATCTTACTGGCGGGAACCCTGAATATCGGGAAGCTTTAGCATAACTATGCCATGTTAATGGTTATCTAATGGACTGAATTTACATTTATATAAATAATTCTGTGACTAACTGGGCTTACAAGTAACCCTAGCCTTCCTCTAGTGACTCCGTGTAGAAATACGGGCCGGATTAGTCAATCTCATTTAATCTATTCTTATAGCTTGGAAAATCCGCCTAAAAACCAGCTATTTGATCTATTATTATTTTTTAACAACTTCTAACAACTTATTCTTGGAATTCCTACGTTCTTTGGAATGCATTTCGCGCGTTATTTGAAATATCGATTTTTCTACACATGGCCCCGACAGTCTAAGTGAACTTGTTCAAAAATACTGTTAAATTTCAGTTGTCTTGTGGCGACGTTACCTACTTGAAAACTCTTAACCTTTCGACAAATTAGTGCTGACTGAAATATTTTACTTTTTAGTCCATCCGTTCCGAGAACTATTAAATAAATTACCACGCGTTCCGGCTTTTGTTACAACATTACCAACTTGTACAATTTTTTGTCATAGATTGTCCCGCGGGTAAGTGCACAAACTTTAAGCAGACAAGCATACAAGTTGCGTTGGATTTATCCAAATTCTTGGGATTAATATTCCCAAGGGTATAAAAGTCTTCGAAAAAAAAGAAACATACATCGACTGTAACACAAACCTACCAGTTTAGCGAGTGTATTTATTTTGTCCAGAAAATCAGAAGCTTGTCATTGTCAGTTCATTTAAATTTAAAATAAGAACATTTACGAAACACAAGTTTATATAAGCTTTCAAATTGAGAAAAGTTATTTTTTTTAGTATTTCAACAACGCATAATAATAGACTAACCCTCACAAAATATTATAGGGTTATATACAGGGTAATTCACGCATAATGTCATTAATTTTAACCACGTGTTCGGCCTAATAAAGACAGAAAATCGAAAAAAAATAGTCGACCTTTTAAAAAATAAGCAAAGTACCCCTTAACTCCTATTAATTCGACGCCCTTCTTTGAATCACGTTTGCTGACTGGGAACAAGCCGGCGCACCGTAGAGCGTTCGAAGTTGAAGCGAACAGCTGATTTCCCTAGTCGTCTTGAATTTTGCAACTGGTTTCAAAATTAAAGTGCGGCTAATTTGTTTCAGTGATCTATTTGGGATGAAATTGTTTAAAGAAGCAATCAATTTTTCAAGCTGTCTGCTTCCTCGTCAGAAACAGGAAAGTTTCGTTAAATAAAGAAGCATGCGAAGAAATTTCACGTATCATACAAAAGTATTTAGAAGTAATATTATATAGTTTGGTTCAAAGGGATGTAGGAGATTTATATTGGAGACAAGATTTTAGAAATATTTTTGAATTTATTTGATTTAACATTAAATTTTTTTTTTAAATATAAAATATAATGAATAGTACATAATTCATAGCCAACTTTTGAATTTTCCATGACTTTAAATAACAGCTGCAATACGCATTATTAGTTATTCGTGTTCTGGTTGAAAACGACAAAGTCTTTTGAAAACTAACAAGAATTTTTTTAAGTCCGCCAACGGATTAAAAAATTGTGAAACATAGATTTTTACGATTTTTAAGTGTAGGTATTGAATTTATTTGCGATAAACATTATCTATATAGCAAAGAAATCTACTCATATGCACATAGCATACATATTGACTAATTAACAACATAAAAATATCATATTTAAGTAGTTTTAAATTATATTTATTGAACGCATAAAGACTATGTAGATGTGGCAACAGCGCTAATAATTAACTAGCAGTTGTACACACTGCGAACCTACAGACCTCGGACATCGGAGATATGCGCGTCAAACTCGGGTAAAGATGCGTACGCGTTCAAAAATGTATTGTATGTATTCTATGTACAATATAATTATTATATACAGGGTGTTTTTGAATGGAGTAGCATAAATGATACCAGTGAATCTACATTTCAAAGGAACACGATTTGCAGAAAATCGCCTTAGTAAAATGTTCACCCCTGAAGAGATATGGGCCATCAAAGTTTCCAAAAAAATTATGAAAATTGGCTGTAATTTGAAAACCGAACGAGATACAAATAACAAATTTGTTACAGGTTGTTTACTAATACAGATGCGAGTTTTCAACTAATTTTCGAAAATTTTAACCTCTCGAAAGGGGTTGAAATAACCACCCCTCAAGCCATTTTTTGCCATAACTTTTATATTTCGTAAAAACTCGATATCCAAAAATACGCATTAGATAAACTGGTTCTTTTAGAAACGTTTACCTCCCTAGCAATTTTCCTTTAAAACTTTTCGTTTATTAATAAAAAAATAAAATGTATTACCATTCACCTCACACCGTGTATGATTGCAATCAATCAAAGAAAAACTAAGTGTGCTGCTGTCATGCCAGTTGTCACAATTAACAAATTGCTAAACAGCTAAAACAGCTAAATACTTTTTGGGTGTAAATTAACAAGAATTATGCCAAATTTTATTAATGATGAATATGTGGACATGCTAAAAGTGTATTTTGAATGTCGTTTTGAAAAACACAAAAACAAGAGCGTATAATGAGAGATATCCAAATCGTCAAGTTCCCCACAGACAAACTGGCCGAAGACCTACTGTTCGTACTATGAGGTGCAGTACTTGAAGAGTTTGACGAAAATCGTCAGACTAATACGAGAAAAACAGCAATGCACTTAAATGTGTCCCATAGTGTTGTTTGGACTATTGTCCATGATAATTTATTAAGGGCCACTGGCCAGTTCAAGCTCTACTTGAACCAGACATGCATAAGCGAGTTGTTTTTTGCGAATCGTATCTTAATATTCTAAGAAATAATTTGAATTACTAGATACTTTTCACAGATGAAGCAACTTTTCAAAGACATGATTTAACCAATATGCACAATCNATCATAGAATCGGCCTGTTCAGGGTTGGCAGCTAATTATGAGACACCCTGTATAATTATTCAATCTGTCTCTTTACCCCATGATGACAATTTTGATATAAATCTGAAAATGAGACAACACGTATAAAAATTATAGGGGGTACTAAGCCATATAAAAAGGAACGCCCGGTATATTACAACTTGTATTATTTAGGTGTGGACAACGGTTTAGTATTCGTTGGCCCTAAAAGGTATGCTGAGCGGAGCTATTACAAAAAACATGGATTGGACATTTACAATTTTGAAGCTAGACCAGATGATATCTATTTAGTTGGATGCCAAAGAACTGGTAAGTATGCCTTGGCTTTGTCTGCAGGCTTCCGAGGTTGTTGTCAAAAGTCCAACCATTTTCGGACTCGTTGCCACGTCATCGGTTTAGACTTGACGTTTGCAGAGAGATATCGAGAGAAATTTGAAGATAAGAATCTTTGTTTTGCAGGCACTACTCTTCACAGCGAAATGGTGTGGCTCATACAAAACGACCTGGATTTCGAAAGTGCCGCAAAAGATATCTTAGATCACAGATTTCCTCATATAGAGTAAGTAAAGTTCGAATAATGGCTGTTTTGTTCAGAAACATACTAAGAGGTAGAATTTTCTTTCCGAATGGAATGAATATTAGGAAGACAACACTTTGGTTTAGTATATTTAATTGGTACAATATATTTGATGCCGTTTTATTCCAGTTTCAGTGTAATAGGCGTTTTCGAGTTTTTGGAGATAGCTCTAAAAGCGAACAAGGACAGAGACAAATTTTCAGAGATACATCGAAAGTATCAAGAGTTAGATTTGAAGGGTCTGTCAGAGCAAAAGGGTAGAAGATTTATAAGATCTCACCTTCCTCTTAGCTTGATGCCTCCACATATCTTTGAGGTTGGAGCGAAGGTATTATTTTGTCTTCTTGCTGTCATGAAGACTAATATTTACTTGTTTGTTATTAATGCATGACAAATAACCGATATTTTGAGAAAAAAACACTATATTTTTTTCTAATAGACATTAAATTCGGTCAACACTAATTGAGTATATTTCTGTTTAGGTAATTTACTGCGCCAGAAATCCGAAGGATATGCTGGTGTCTTTATATAATATGTATAGTAATATAGGAATTAGCTTACCAGATAGAAGCTTTCAAAATTACATTGACGTTTTCAAAAACGATTCAGGTAAGCAAATTGTAGCTTTAAGGATCCGAAAGTAAAAATTTTGTATCTAGTGGATTCAAGATAGCTTAAAATTACGCATTATTTCGAAATAATTATGGGAAGCATGGATTTTCCTAAAACCTTTTGAAATTACTTGGAGATAAGTATTAGAAAAAAGTTATAAACTTATTTTTGTACGCTAATTGTTTTTTAATTGTTTAAACAATAATAAATAGTTTTTTTAAGAACATAAGAAATAATTCAATGAATTTTAAATCGAATTCTTTCAAATTGACAATATAGGGGTTTTCGATGTCGCTGAACAAGAATATGAAGTCGGAAAATGAAAATTCAAAATGGCTGATCCAATATGGCCGACTATTTTAAACAATTT